TATGCTCATTCTAGGTACAAGATATGGACGCTCTCTATATATATATATATATATATATATAAAACACACATCGCGTCTCTTGATAATATATAATAATAACTAACGATAAATAATAATAATAATAATAATAATAATAATCACAATAATGTTAATAATAACCGAGGACAGCGAGAATGAACTATTTGGCGATATTTATTGATTTTAGCTTTGTATCGTAGCGTTTGCTCGGTGTATATAAGATTATAATTACGCGTTACACATCTATTATCGTTACAACATGAAGATTAAAGTAATTTATTGTAGAGTGAAGTTCTCTTGCGGGGAATGAATGGAGCTGCTAAAGGCATTCTCGATCCTTTTCCCATATCTCTCTCTGTTTCAAAACTAATCCACCTATATATCTTTATCCCTATTAACGGGAAACGTGCTACGAAAATCTAAGCGTACTACCACTTTCGGAAAATGACAGAAGCGTAACATTGAGAAGATATTGGTTTTTCTTTCCGTTTAATCAATTTCCTATTTCAAATGCAACGTATATATTGTTAAATTTTAGAAATCATTTTCGATCGACATTTCTTTCTCCTCTTCAAATTACCTCGTAGTGTAAAAAAATTAATTAATATAACAAACATAGATAATTCTTTGCAATTAATTACATACATGTAATATATTTCTGACAATTCGATACATTTTCTGTTCTTATCGTTAAAGGCTGACGTCAATCCCAAGTGGAAGATCGATCGGAAAAAAAAGTTGAAATTTTACGTGTGGAATGAGACGCTGACTATATCGTCACTCATCGAAATAAATAAAGTCTCGCTTTGTGAATTCGCAAAGCGAGAGATAATCGTCGATTGGAAGTCTCCTCCGCGACGGACGGATCGACCGGAGGAGATTCGATCATCAGGAAACGACAACGCATAGCATTTATCACACGCGCAGATTTAGGAAATCCGTAAACCTTATTGTCAAACAGTTAGAATGTTAGAGTAACGGATTCGCAAATTGCGTCTTTTAATCTCTTTTAGCGTGCCGCAGGCCTTGGAAGAAGCCTCCTTCCCCTTTTCCTAGAATTTTCATCTTACGATCGCGCATCGCGACTCGTTGTCGACTTCGTACGACGCGACAACGAGATCGTATGATCCATGCGATCGTAAAATCCCTCGCCGATATCGTGTTACCAGGTTTGATTTTATCGTTTATTCAGGACCAATTATCGTAAACGATAATGTATCGGGTAGAGCATGTGCGAGAGGCACGTTATTACGGTAGCAGCACTGTACTTAAAACACTTTAACGAAAATTCATGGATCAATATATTGTTGAAAACTCGGGAGCGTGGCGTCGACCGAGAGACAGCTGCGATCGTGATTTATCCGATTATATTGCAGAGTTAAAATAAAATTAAGAATGGAAAAATGACAAAGAATAGAAAAATTAATTAAATATTTATAGTCGTCCCTGAGTTAAAAAGTACTATATTGAATTCTACTTCAAATAAACTCGATGCTTCCGTTCAATTTAATTTCCCAGTTTGTTTCTTATTTTTTTGTAAATTGCGTTTCAGCAAATGCGAGATATAAAAATTGCAATTGCAATCGGAACTTTCGGAGCGCGTGAACGTCAGCTCGTTTGCGATTTTACGTGCGTCGGAAGTACCGTGCGTTCATTCCTATTATCGGACGTGTGTGCAACAGTTTAATGCTTCCGTCGCTTTCGAAGTAATTTCATCTCTTACGAAATGATTTCCGCCATCGACGGCGCCAACGGAACAGCGACGGAACTGGTCGACGCCATCGCTCGCGGATTAAAAATTTAGCTAGAAATGGATCTACTCTCTTTTCAATTGTTCCTCTTTCCATGTTTGAACAGTAAAACGGATACGTTGCTGAAAGAAAGAGATGGAGAGGAAGGAGGGAAAGAGAGAGCGGGAGCAGAAAAGGTGCGATCGAAAAGAGAATGGATCTGGTTAAGGAAAACCACGTACGTCCTATGTGTACAATGTCGCTCATTGTATTGACATCGTCATTGATATCGATTATTACCATTTACCATTTACGAGTAACGTATCTAAGTAGAGATGGTGAAAAATATAACGTGATGAAGTAATAGAAACTAAGTAACGTGCACTGTGTAGTGTGATAGTCGTAGATCGTACGCTGATCTCAGGATCATGTTGGGCGAAACACGCGACTCGTCAAGGAAATCACGATCGATCCATCCAGCAGGCTAAAAGGAAAGGAAAGGAGAGAGAGAGAGAGAGAAGAGAGAGAGAGAGAGAGA